ACCTCCTCCTCCTCTTCCTTCTCCTCCTCTCTCTCATCATCATCCTCCGCCTCTTCCTCCTAATCCTACTCCTCGTCCTCCTCCCCCTCCCCCTCCTCCTTCTCCTCCTCCTCCTCCTCTTCTTCCTGTTGCTCCTGCTCGGGCCGGTGTCCCCGTCGCATTTCCCTTCGGGGACCCACCTGTGTGCGGCCCACGTTTGCGCCCTCTCCCCAACTACATTCTGAAATGGGGAGACGACGAGGGCGTCGGGCGAGGGCCAACACTGCCAGCAGCAACCGCGACAGAGGAAGACGGAGGTGGGCGGAGGAGCGAGGAAGGGAAGGAGGGAGGAAGGGGAAAGCAGGGGCAGGAAGGAGGGAGGAAGGAGGAGTAGCGATCCCCAGTGGCGAATGTGCGCCCCCATAGCTCGGCAATGAAAACAACAACAACAACAACAACAACAACAACAACAACAACAACAACAACAACAACAACAACAACAACAACAACAACAACAACAACAACAACAACAACAACAACAACAACAACAACAACATCATCATCAACAACAACAACAACAACAACAACAACAACAACAACATTAACAACAACAGCAGCAGCAGCAACAACAATAACAACAGCAACATCAACAACAACAGTAACAACAACTGCAACAGCAACAGTAACGGCAACAGCAGCAGCAACAACAAAATAAAACAAAACAAAACAAAATAACCATAGCAAAAGCAACAACAGCAACCAAAGCGACAACCGCAGCTGCAACAAAAACAGCAACGTCAACAATAATAACAAACACAACAGCAACCATGACAACAACATCAGCAAACCCAACATCAGCACAAACAACAGCAACAACAACAACAGCAATGACAACAGCAATGACAAGAGTCACAACCACAACAACAACCACAACCACAACAACAACCACAACCAAAACAACAACAGCAACAACAGCAACAGCAACAACAACCATAGCAACAGCAACATCTATTACTACGACTACGACCACGACTACGACTACGACGACTACTACTACTACTACTACTACTACTACTAGTCTTACTACTATCGCTACTACTACTACTACTACTACTACTACTTCTACTACTACTGCTACTGCTGCTGCTGCTGCAAATACTACTACTACTACTACTACTACTACTGCTACTACTACTACTACTACTGCTTACTACTACTACTACGAATAACTACTACTACTACTAACTACTACTCTAATACTTACTAACTACTACTTACTACACTACTACTACTACTACTACTCACTAACTACTACTAACGAACTACCTACTACCGACTAACTACTACGACTACTCGACTACTACTACTACTACTACTGCTACTTCTACTACTACTACTGCTACTACTACTACTATTCTTACTACTACTACTACTACTACTACTACTACTACTACTACTACGACTTACTACTACTACTACTACTACTACTACTACTACTACTACTACTACTACTATACTACTATACTACTACTACTACTACTACTACTACTACTACTACTACTACTACTACTACTACTACTACTACTACTACTACTACTACTACTACTACTACTACGATTTTATCTTTACATAAATATGACCGAAAACAGCCCCCCCTGCCCCCCGCGTGACCGCCCCCAAGCGGCGCACACCGCCGTCGTGACCAACCCCCCGCGCTGCCCCAGGGATCCACGGAGAGACGAGGCCGGCGGCCAGGCCGCAGGGGCCATCGGGGGATACTCCGCGGGGCCCAGCGCGGCCGCGGCGCTGAGCGCCGCGAGGGAAGCGCCCGAGACGAGCGCCAGCGGCGAGATCCAGCCGTAGGGATCGCCCTCGTGCTGCCTGGCCCCGCGAGCGGGTTCCTGCTGCGGGGGGCAGCCGAGGATCGGCAGCGCGCCCGGGCGGAGAGCAGCGGGGGCGGGCCGCCCCGGAAGGCTCAGGAGGCCTCGGCATTCTCTGCGCTTTTCGCTCGGAGGCGCGTTTTTCGAAGGGCCCTCTTGCCCTCGTCAGAAGGCGCAGCGGGCCTCCCGGAAGGCCACAAGGTTTCCGAGAGGCCCCCCCGCCGCCTCCTGAAAGGGCCTGCCCCCTCCTCCTCATCCTCCTCCTCCTCCTCCTCCTCCTCCTCCTCCTCCTCCTTACCTCCCCTCCTCCTCCTCCTCCTCCCTGCCTCCTCCTCCTCGCTCCTCCGCCTCCTCCTCCCCCCCGCCTCCTCCTCCTCCTCATCATCATCCTCCCCTCCTCCTCTTCCCTCTCCTCCTCCTCCTCCTCCTCCTCCTCCTCCTCCTCCTCCTCGGTTTCCTCCTCCTCCTCCTCCTCCTCCTCCTCCTCCTCCTCCTCCTCCTCCTCCTCCTCCTCCTCCTCCTCCTCCTCCTCCTCCTCCACTCATCCTCATCCACATCCTCATCTCCATCCTCATCCTCATCCTCATCCTCATCCTTTTCCTCGCCCTCCATTCCTTATCCTTATACATAACATCTCCCTGACGCACCCCAAGGCCAATGTTTAGGGCGGGCCGGGCGTTTCGCCTAAGACTTCCTCACCAAGTACGACTCTGAAACTTAAAAAGTGACAACGGTTTCACAAATGGGGGTGGGTGATTTTCAAAATGCGGCTGTCGCCTTAGCGCCGCGCGCATTCGTTTTGAAAAATTGCAAGAGCTTCACGGATTAAAAGTAGGTGTTTTTCGATATGCGTCTGTTGCCTGAGCGCAACGCATCACGGATTGAGGGTGGGTGGTTTTCAAAATGTGGCTCTCGCCTTAGCGCCGCGTACATCCGGTTTAAAAACTCGCAAAGAGCTGCACGGATTGAGGGCGGGTGGTTTGCAAAACGTGGTTTTCGCCTTTGCGCCGCGAGCATTCGTTTCAAAAAATTGCAAGAGCTTCACGGATTGAGGGCGGGTGGTTTTCGAAATGTGGCTATCGCGGCGCCACGCACATTCGTTTTGAAAATATGCCAGAGTTTAACGGATTGAAGCGGGCTCCTTTTCAAAATGTGGCTCTCGCCTTAGCGCCGCGCACATGCGTGTCTTCAAAGATGCAAAGAGTTTCACTGGTTCCCATGATCAACGTACCAGAAACGGTGTTTTGGAAGGATGCATGTTTATGCCGGCACAACAGTTCGGTTGATTCGCTGTGTCGAAATCCCAATATTGTTGTTCTGGCACGGTTCTGGATCGTCAAGACGCAGCAGTCCGGTTGATACGTGGCATTCCAATCCAGAAAACGATGTGTTTGCACGCTTCAGGATCTTCAAACTGTTGTTTTCCAACGAGGCCATTCCTTCAATGGAAATGAACCGTTGTATGGGGCCTGTGAACAGGGAGCTTGGAAAGAGAATTCCAATATCGCTGATGGTTCCTCCTCCTCCCCGTCCTCCTCCACCTCCACCTCCTCCTCCCCCTCCTCCTCCTCCTCCTCCTCCTCCTCCTCCTCCTCCTCCTCCTCATCATCATCATCATCTCATCATCGCATCATCATCATCATCATCATCATCATCATCAATCATCATCATCATCATCATCATCATCATCATCATCATCATCATCATCATCATCATCATCATCATCATCATCATCATCATCATCATCATCATCATCATCATCATCATCATCATCATCATCATCATCATCATCATCATCATCGTCCTGTTCTTCCTCCTCCTCGTCCTCCATTTCCTCCTCGTCCTCCTCCTCCCCCTCCTCCCCGTCCTCCTCCTCTTCGGATGATTGTCATTATCCGTATGAGTATTGGTATTATTCGTGTAATTAATATTGGTAACGTTATTAGTAGCATTCGTAATACCAGTATTAAAATTCGTATTGTGATGGTTTGTCTTACGATTGGTAATATCAGATTCAGTGATACTCGTACTTGTTATTGGTGTTATTCGTAAAAATCAATGACAACGCGAATGCTATGAGCAGTCTGAATATTATTCGTAGTACTATGATGGTTACGATTTGTGGTCGTATTGAGACTGTTCAATATATCGTTGTTAATAATAATTTGACCATTGGTAGCGATACGATTCGTATCAATCTGGTATTAGTGATAGCAGTACTACCAGCATTAGTAGACTTAGCATTACCATACTACGAGTGTGTCAATACGATTAGACTTGTGATCCGTGATAGTATGAATATTAACATCAGTCCTACGATCAGGACTAGTAGAACGAAGTGTAGTTAGTATGAGTTGTACTATTACTAGTATTAGCATTCGTGTTTATCTCCCTCATGGTGATCAATAGTAGTAACAATAAAATTAACGGTAACAGTGGTCTCAATATTGCCGGTATTCGTGCTAGTACTATTACTGGTGTAAGTTTGGCACGTGAGGCTGCGCTGATGTCTGCTAACTGCGCGCCGTGAGACCGAGGTCCTTGCAATCTGCGCACACGACGCGTTCCTGCTTCGTCGTTCGACAACATTACACATGTCATCTCTTCAGATGCTGCGCCTCCGAAAAAAATCGTTGGCCGATTTCGCACGTCAGCGGTTATGGTTCCGCTATTTGCCAATGTTTGACTTGCGCGTCAACTTATCACGTTCCTCCGCGCATATCCAACAGAACCTATCTCCGGCTGCGTTGTTTCTGCTGCGCTTCCGAAGCATACCCACCTTCTCCTCGAAACCAACAGGCAGTTGTCGCACTTCGCGTTGCCGCGGCGCGGACTCCTTGTACAATACGTTGTACGAATAATTTTCGGACCCTCCACGTCGCCAGTTTCTCCGTCGCCCTGAACACCAACATGCCGCGTCAGCCCATCACACGCCCATGAATCCGCACACTTGTTGCACGTGTCGCACCATATTTGGTTCGCGTGTTTTTCACGCCCGCCGCGCATCCCTTACAGAAGGCTGGACTATCTTCCATTTGCAAATCGTACTTCGCAAACGCCTCTAGAAGAAGCCTCCACCGGCACCGTTCGCACTGATTTCGCGGCAATAGTTCTGTCCCCCATCCTTCCCTATCCAAGTCTTCCCCCCAAAGCACCTGCACCAGCTCCTTCGAGCCGGCCACCGCACCGACTTTGCACGGATTCCGATCAAAAGCCCGAAAGACAAATTAGTTGTCCCGCCTTCGCACACGCGAGATGGCAACGCAACTTAACATCCAACTCACGCCACGCACTCTTTCAAGGTCCGCTATGACTGCTCCCATCGTTCGTTCATGCGCGGCGAGCGGTTACTGCCAACGGTGTGATCATGAACTCTGCGCGCTCGACAATAAATATTGCTTCCGATACCCGTCCAAAAACCACGGAAACCCCGAAGGCCCCAATACCGTGTAGGGGTCCTGAAATATTACGCGAAAAGACAGAGAGTCCTTACGCGGTGGCCCACGCTGGCCGACAGCGCGAAACGCTTGATTGGAAACGAGGGCGCTTACGCGCGACCATACGCAGGCAACTGACGTGACGCGCGAATGCCCGAGAAGTCGAACCCGTTGTTTTTGTGTGGCTCAGCTGGCGGTTGGGGCGAAGCGCGCGCTGCATTGGGGAGGCCATGTCGAGCAAGGAGCCGAACTGTGCGCTGGAATGCCGGCAGGTGCGGGGGAAACGGCTTGTGCCGTGCCGACGTCCGCTGCGCTCAAGATTTCGAAGCACGAGGGAGGAGGGAGGACAGAGAAGGGAGGAGGGAGGTGGTAGGAGAAATGTATTGCTAGGGGCCGCTCTCGAAATAAGCTCCACGACAGAATCTAGAATAGGATTTAACCAACCAGTAGAATGAAAAAGTACACAATGCATAACTCACAGATCCCAGGTGAGAGTGACGAGGCAAAATGCTGAAGAAACCTCCGCGGACAAATCCGGGGAAAAATCCAAGGGAAGAGGATGACGAAGAAGAAGGCAGAAGAGGAGGAGGAGCGAAACGGACGAGGCCGGAGAAAGGAGGGAAAGAGGAGGGGCGAAGGAGGCCGTCAGGACCCAGCGTGGGGCCGAGCACCGCAACGGCCCCACCTGCGTCGCACTGAGAGCATCACGAGGTTTTGGAAAAGTTTGGACTGGAGTCCACGACCTCCATGCCCCTGATGGGGAAACCAAAAGGTAGCGATACCGCTACTCCCTGGACCTCTCCCAGGGTGCGTTCTGACTAGAATTTCGAGTCGAATCCAGCGGTGGCGACGAGGGCCTCCGAGGAGGCCCAAAACGAGGAAAACGAGGAGGAAAGGGTATAGGTACCTTTTCCTCCTCTGGCTTGACCCCGCTGCTGCATGTGACATCCCAGGCTGGATCGAGCTGTAGCGGTCCCGGGGACCGAACGGGGCAACGCCGCCCGCCGTGCTGCCAGACCCCCAAGCGTCACGGTTTGTTCGAATACGTGGGACCCCCGTGATCTTGACGGCCAACGCAGAGCCTGCTCTTCATCCTGGGCAATTCTGGCCAGGTGCGAAACTGAAGAACAACCCGCCACGTCGATGTTTCGTGGCACCTTTGGTCTCCTTCTGTCTGAGCCGCCTGGAGCCGTCGACACAATCCCCAGGTGCGGAACGTCCAAGAGCGGGACGTCCAAGAGAGGGGCTCGCAAATCATGGCCCGAGAAATATGCGCGGACGAGGAGGCACCTGGGGACGCACTGCAAATGAAGAGGAGCCCTGAGAACTGGGGAGATATCATGGCCCCCACCATGATATCCACAGACACACACACACACACCTAGTCATCACCCTCCCTATCAAAAAGCCCCCGAGACCCTTCCCTCCGAACAGTCCCGACCCCCCGGGGGGCCAAGAGGCGAGCCCCAGGCACCCGAGCGCGGCGAGAGGAGCCTCTGGCGCGACTCTCCTAAACGCCCGAGGGTCTGGGATGCTTGGGGGGGAGCACAAGAACAAAGAAACAAATCAGCAAACAAACAAAACGCAAAAAAAGAGAGAGAGAGAGAGAGAGAAAAAAAAAAATAAAAAAACAAAGAAAATAATAATGAATAAAAAAAGGATAGATAGATAATAAAAAAACAAAAAAAAAAAAAAAAAAAAAAAAAAAAAAAAAAAAAAAAAAAAAAAAAAAAAAAAAAAAAAAAAAAAAAAAAAAAAAAAAAAAACGACAACGACAACGACGACAACAACAACAACATCATCATCATCAACAGCATCATCATCATCATCATCATCATCATCATCATCATCATCATCATCATCATCATCGTCATCATCAACAACAGCAACGACAACAACAACAACAACAACAACAACAACAACAACAACAACAACAACAACAACAACAACAACAACAACAACAACAACAACAATCATTTTACCCGAACGCTCAGTGTTCTCACCAGTGCCAGGGTTTTCATGCGACGCGAGACAATACCCCCACTTCGTGGGGGGGCAGTTCAAGCTCTACCAAATATCCAAACGACTCTTCGCGACCACCCAAACCCAGCTTCCCGCCCTATGACGTTGGGACACTTCACTTCGTGGCGTGCGGACGACCGTGGCTACTACACTGGCGTGGGGTACACACCCACAGAACTTGGTCACTTATTCGGGGCGCGCGTGTGCCCAGCATCCTGCAATTGTGACATACAATACATGACACAGACAGACAGAGAGAGAGACAGAGAGCAGACAGAGAGAGAGACAGAGAGAGCGGAGTTGGTCCACATTTTTGGGGCAAGTTCCTGAGATCGTCGTGTTTTTTGTTGGTCTTGCGCGCGCGAATGTCCACTTTACTTTTTTTTGCAAGGGATGTTGAAATTTGATTATGTAAGAACAAGAAAAAGTAGCTCGCGCGAGCTTATGTAACATAAATGTTGAAAAACCATTGGTTTTGTGGGAGTCGGACAGCGCGCGCGGGATGAAATTTGGACATTTTTTTTTGAAAAACCATTGGCTTTTTGATGTTTTTATGTTGAAATCGCTACGAAACCTAAGGTTCTGGAAGGATTTCGTCTTGCGCGCGCGAATGTCCACTTTACCTTATTTTTTGCAAGGGATTATTGAAATTTGATTATGTTAGAACAAGAAAAAGTAGCTCGCGCGAGCTCATGTAACATAAATGTTGAAAAACCATTGGTTTTGTGGGATTCGGACAGCGCGCGCGGAAGGACATTTTGACAATTTTTTCTTAAAAAACCATTGGGTTTTTGATGTTTTTATGTTAAAATCGTTACGAAACCTAAGGTTTTGGAAGGATTTCGTCTTGCGCGCACGAATGTCCACTTTACCTTATTTTTTGCAAGGGATTCTTGCAATTTGATCAACTAAGAACAAGAATTTTCATTTTCTATTGTTTTTTGCAAGGGAAAACGAGCGTCAACAAAAAACCGGATCCGGTACCAATCGTTTTGCCTGAGACTTCCTCACGAAAATGATGAAAATGTGGCTGCGGCCTAGGCGCGGCGGGGGGGTCGCGCACCAGGGGTCCCAACAATAATTATTCTTAAGAAGAAATAATGTTCAACAACAACGACGACGACGACGACGACGACGACGACAACAACAACATCAACAACAACAACAACAACAACAACAACAACAACAACAACAACAACAACAACAACAACAACAACAACAACAACAACAACCATTTTAAGGCTGTACGCTCTTACTTGCCCGCGAGTCATTCAACACGTATACCCTACACCCTCGAAACCCGCCCTCTTTGTCTTCGATCACACCCCTTTCGGGGGGATTATTTCTCTTTGCTGGGGCCGGCGGGCTTAGACGTACGGGCAAACCGGAACGGGCGGACAATCCTTCGGGGGCGTACATCTCTCTGCCCGCCATTGGAATTTGCGCGGGCCGTGCAAGAGGAGGAGGGGAAGAACGAGGGAGAGTGGGAGGAAGGGGAGGGGGAAGGACGAAGGAAGAGGGAAGATACCACGTTGTGAAGGCGTCCTTGGCGCGTGCGTGGTTCCTGAGCGCCGAAACGCAATTCCAGAATAATTTGTGAGGACGTCGCACGCGAGAGCGCAGTCCTGAGTACATTGTGAGGAAATCTCGGGCGGGAGCGGGGGCCCTGACTAAGTTGCGAGGAAGTCTCAAGCGGGAGCGCCGTTCCTGAGCAAATTGCACGGAAGTCTCAGGCGGGAGCGGGGGTCCTCACTAAATTGCGAGGAAGTCTCAGGCGGGAGCGCCGTTCCTGAGTCAATTGCGCGGAAATGTCAGGCAGGAGCGGGGGTCCTGAGTAAAATTCGAAGAAGTCTCAGGCGGGAGCGCCGTTCCCACGTAAATTGCACGGAAGTCTCAGGCGGGAGCGGGGGTCTTGATTACATTGCGGGGAAGTCTCAGACGGGAGCGCCTTTCCTGAGTAAATTGCGCGGAAGTCTCAGGCGGGAGCGGGGGTCCTGAGTAAAAATCGAGGAAGTCTCAGGCGGGAGCCGTTGTTGTTGTAGCCCGGGGGGCAGGGGCACAGTTTGAGCAGGAAGACTTTCCTTGAGAAAAAACAAGGTGCGAGCCCCGGGGGTGGCACTTCAATCGAAAAAAATCAATGTGCACCGGTGGGGGGGGATCAACAATAATTATTCTTCAAGAATGAGAATTCAACAACAACAACAACAACAACAACAACAACAACAACAACAACAACAACAACAACAACAACATCAACAACAACAACAACAACATCAACAACAACATCAACAACAACAACAACAGCAGCAACAACAACAGCAACATCAACAACAACAACAGCAACAACAACAACAAAAAAAAAAAAAAAAAAAAAAAAAAAAAAAAAAAAAAAAAAAAAAAAAAAAAAAACGAAGCTCGCGTTTCAAGCTCTAAACGCCTGGCGAGGAAATCCCCCGGGATCCTTAAGAAGCCCGTCGACGGAACCCCTGCCCCTCCTGCCCGCCCAGAGGCTATCGGGGTCGTGGGCCTCTGCGGGGAACATCGCTTCCGCCCTGGCCCTGGTGCGGGAAGCGTTGTAATACCACCAGCCCTCTGAGCGACAGGTGTGGTCTAACGATTTCTGTTTTCCTCCACAAATCCTTCCTCCCCTTCGGGGAGGAAGTCCGTCCCTGTTCCGTATCAAATATACACCCCCTCCCCCAGGCGACCCGCGTCCAACCAGGAACCATGAAGACACCATAACGCCCCGTCACCCACCATCCCTGTCAAAAAACAACACAAACCGCACTCTGCCTCCACATCTGGAGCATGCGCGCGACCCGATGCAACCCCCCCCCAACCTTCCGTCAACAAACAATGCAAAGTACACTTCGGGGCAAAGTCTTGAGTCATGTTCGTGAGGCCCGCGAGCACTTCGTATTGTTTCTGACAGGGACGGCGGGGGTGTCAGCATAGTCATTGCTGCGAGCAGGGCTACCATTCATTTTTTGTTCATATAAATATATGTGTTACGATTATACAGATGTGATAACAAACAACAAAAAAACAAACAAACAAACAAAAAACAAACAAAAAAACGAACGGCTAAATCTGGAATTTGCGCGGCCATCCCGCGATCAACAGGAACCGCGGGGGTAGTGGAGCGTGGCCTGCTGGCTGTGAGCCGACCCACCAGACACCATGATGGGCATTGGTTTTCGACACGGACGGTGGGGGCCGACATGTTTCCCGATGTGTGCTGTCACGTGCGCGGACGCACCTAACGCACTCTGAACGTGCCCCGAATGTGGCGCACCTGGCGCGGCTGAATTGTGCGGCACACCTGGCGCACCCGGAGCACGTGGCGCATCTGGCGCACCAGGCGTGCCTGGCACGCTCGGGCCACGGGGTTGCCTGGCGCGCGTGGCACCCCTGGCACGCGTGGCGCACCTCGCCCAAGCGTCGCGCACCTGGTGTCGGCTTTGGTTCCCAGTAGCTGTCCATCCAAAGACGACCGCTGAACATGCTCAGGCTCGGGTGTTACTTATGTGTTGGGAAGGCGGGTGGGAGAGAGCTAGACGACTTGCGGGTGGGTGGGTAGCTTGACCCCTCCCCCTACCCCCTCCCCTGGACCTGGACGGGGGGGGCCGAGGTGTCAGAGGGTCCAAGATAGCCTCCAAGATAGCTCAAGATAGCCCAATATGGCTCAAGATAGCTAACAACATGCCTCCAAGAGGCCCCAAGAAGCCCACAAGACGGTTGCAGGTGCTTTCGGCGACCCCTCAGGACCTCCGCGAGCAGCCAAATCCTTCAAAAGCATGACAGAAATTGATGTCTTTTGCGTTCTCGCCTTTTCGCTTCCGATGCGCTTTTGAGGCCTCGAGATGGCCCTAAGATGGCCCAAGGGAGCTCCAAGAAGGGCCAAAGGGGCCCCCAAGACTGCCCCAAGAGAGTCCCATCAGGGCCCGAAGGCGCCCCAAGAGAACCCCAAGATGACCCCAAGACCCCCCTAAAGATCCCCAAGAGGGCCCCAAGATGCCCTGGCAGAGCTCCAAAGGACCCCAATATCCCCCAATACAGCCCCGTAGCCCCAAGAAGGCATCCGATGCTCCAAGACAGCCTCCAAGATGGCTCAACATCCTCCTTCCTCTCCTCTCCTTGCACGCTCTGTTTCACTATATGTGTCTCTTCGTCCCATTTCCCGTCAGCTCTCAAGGGCAGGGTTCCTGAATGGGCTGGTGGAGACTTGCGAAGCGAAAACAAATTCCTCTGATGCATTGGGGGGCACTGATTGCTTCTTAGGATTACTCTCCAAATCTTTCCAGGGGCTTGCTGTGAGCAGAATTTCGAGGCGAAAGATAACGGTGTCGGTATGTATTTCCAGAAGAGGCTAAGTCCGGACGAAGTAAGTCTGGATGGAGACCGCGCACTCCGTGCGGACTTGATCCGCACGGACTTCATTCCATCAGGAGAGGCTAAGTCTGGACGGAATCAGCCCGGACGGAAACCGAGCACTCCGTACGAACATCCTCCCCACGGACTGAGCATCCTCTGGCATCTTCCCCTTCTGCGCTTGGGTCCTGGCCCGGCTTGCCGACCAGCGGCTTCTGCAGCGCGCGGAGCCTCGGTCCCATCCCATCGCGCAGACTGCCGATCAACATCTCGCCGCCGGTCCGCCTGAGTCCGGGCGCCGCCGTCCTCGCCGCCGTCGTCCACGTCGTTGTGGTCGTCGTCGTCGCTGCTGTCATCGCCTCGTCATCATCATCCTCATCATCCTCATCATCCTCATCAATATCATCATCCTCCTCGTCGTCGTCGTGGTCGCTGTCATCGCCTCGTCATCATCCTCATCATCATCAACATCGTCATCATCATCATCATCATCATCATCATCATCGTCATCATCAGCAGCAGCAGCAGTATCATCATCAGTGAATCATCATCATCATCAGCAGCAGCATCATCAGAATCATCGTCATCATCATCAGCAGAAGCATCAGCATCTTCATCATCACCATCATCATCGTCACCCTCGCCGTCGTCGTCGCAGCTGTCATCACCTTGTCATCAGCAGCAGCAGCATCAGCATCATCATCATCAGCATCTTCATCATCATCATCATCATCATCATCATCATCATCATCATCATCATCATCATCATCGTCATCGTCATCGTCATCGTCATCATCATTATCCTCATTTATCCTCATCATCATCAGCATCATTGTCGTCGTCGTCATCATCCTCCTCCTCGTCGCCGTCGTCGTCGCTGTCGACACCACATCATCCTCATCGTCCTCCTCCTCCTCGCCATAGCCGTCGCCGTCGCCGCCGTCGCGGTCGCTGTCGCCGCCGACGCTGTCGTCGCCGTCAACGAGCGTCAGCAGGAGCGTGCACGAGAGCAGCGGAGGAGGACGCGCGCCAGGGCGAGGGCGAGGGCGGGGAGGGGGCAGGGGGAGGGTCGTAGAGATCCGACGCTCCGAATAGAAATTGGAGCAGGCGGATGTTTTGCCGTTTTCGGTCGTTCGGCATGCGGGGGCCCTCGCCGGGCCGCAGGAGCGTCAACAGAAAACAACTCGGGACGAATATCCGGCCCTAGGGAAGTGGTCGGGACCTCTGGGGCCCACGAAACGAAAAATTGGAAGCAGCCAGATGCCTGGGTTGGATGAGGGAAGAAGAGAGCAGGGACGAGGAGGAGGGACGGGGGCCCCAGTGCAAACCCAAGACTCAGCAACGATGTTGGAATGAACCCTCCCTTCAAGCTCCCTCTTCACAGGCCCCTACAGGGGTTCATGCTGCACTGAAGGAAATGCCCCGTTGGGAGACAACCGTTTGAAGATGCTGAACCATGCCGAAACACCATTCTCGGGACCCCAACGCCACGAATTAATCATACTTAATATGACTGTTGCGTCTTGACGATCCTGCATCGTGCCAGAATACCATCCCTGGGATTCCAACACGGCGAATCAACATGACTGCTGCGCCGTGGCAATCCTGAATCGTTCCAAAAGCCCATTTCTGGAAGGTTGGCCATGGAAGGCCGTGAAACTGATGCAATTGTTTACCACGAATCTGCGCGACGCTGGAGCGAGAGCCACATTTTGAAAAGGGGTCGCCCTCAATCAGTGAAACGCATGCGCTCTCAAAGAAATGCGGGACGATAATGCGAGAGCCACAGTTTGACCACGTCCCGCCTCGATCCGCGAAACTCTTGCAATTTTGCGCGATGGATGTGCGCGGCGCTAAGGCGAGCGCCACATTGTGAAACCTTCCACCCCAAATTCGCGAAACTCTTGCAGTTGTTTCAGACGAACGTGCGCGGCGCTGAGGCGAGAGCCACATTTTGGAAGCGGCCCGCCCTGCATCTGCGAAACCGTTGCCAACTGTTGGGCGTTACGATCACAAATGGTAAGGATTTCTCAGGCGAAACGCCCGGCCCGCCCTTCCGACTCGCCTAAGGGTGTGACCAGGAGGTTTCCTTTGTAAGGAAAAAACGGGGGGGAAGGAGAAGGAGCAGGAGGAGGAGGGGGGAGGAGGAGGCGGAGAAGGAAGAGGAGGAGGAGGAGGAGGAAGAGGAGGAGGAGGAGGAGGAGGAGGAGGAGAGGGAAAGGCGAAGAAGAGAGGAGCCGAGGGGATACAGGCGGAAGGGCGGAGGTGGAGGGACAGTGGAGAAGGAAAAAGGGGGGAAGAGGGTGGGAGGGGGGGCTGGAGAATCGGGTCGGGTGCAGCGTGGGGGGGTCGCAAATAGACAGGCGCGTTGCACTATCCGCGTAGCAATGACTCGCAAATCACCTGGATCCGTCGCGGGAGGGTCATGATCTATTACATCGAGGAGACTCCTTTTCTGGACGTTTGCGATTAGGCACATTGAGTAGTGGGACGCGCTGGGTGAGAGGGAGGGATATCGAACCAGCTCACGGCGCTGGTTCTCATGGCACCTCCCGTCGCCGGAGACGTCCACGCGTGGAGGGAAGCGCCCGGCGGCGGAGTCGCAGCCGGCTGCATGCCGCAGGGCTCGTGCTGGGTGTCTGGGAGAGAGAGAGAGAGAGAGAGAGAGAGAGACAGAGAGACAGAGAGACAGACAGACAGACAGACAGACAGACAGACAGACAGACAGACACACAGACGGACAGACGGACAGACAGACAGACAGACAGGCACAGAGAGAGAGAGAGACAGAGAGAGAGAGAGGCAGATACCAGCTTCGGCTGATTACAATTAGATTCCGAGTGGAACAAACTTGAACGGATTCCAATGAAAATCCTATTGGAATCCAGCTAGAATCTCATTGAGACAGAGCAGATCGTAAGTCCAAGCAAATCCAATTATATTCCTACAGGGATCCAATTAGAATCAATTTGGGATGGAGCAGATCCCAGAGCCACATTATTCATATTGAATTCCTCTTCGAACAACAAATCGTATTGAAATGGAGCAGATCACAACTCCAGCTGATTCGAAGGTGACTCCTATCGGAATTCAAACAGAATTCAATTCGAATTGGTCCCAGATCCCACTGAGTAAAATTGCTTCCTATCAGAATCGAATTAAAATGCAATTGGAATTCAGAAGACACTAGATCCACCTGACTACAAACATCTTCTTTTGTGAGTCGCATCAGAATCTCATTTGCATTGAGCAAATCCCAGATCCAGCTGGTTCCAGAGTGTTTCCTATTGGAATCGACTTAGCATCTAATGAGATCCCAGAAACAGCTGAGTCTGATTGGATTCCGACTGGAATCCAATCAAAATTTTCTTGGGCTAATCACAGACACAGCTGATTACAAGCGGATTCCGATTGGAATATTATTAAAATCTAATTGGAGTGAAGCAGATCCCAGATCCAGCTAATTCAAACTGGATTCTCACTGGAATCGAAGTAGGACTAGACTTGAATTGGAAGTGGACACATCCGAGATCCAGCTGGGTCCAAGTGAATCCCTATCAAAACCGAATGAGATTATAACTCGGATTGAGCAGATCCCGAATCCAGCTGACTCCAAGGACATTCCAGCACGAGGAAACAGCGGAAATATGACGATCAGGAAAGATGTATGAGCAGGCACTGATGAAAAGAAGGTGGATGATCAGTAAGAGTACGAATGATGAGCTCAAAGACCGATGCAAAATTAATGGGTGCGGAGGGGTGCTGCACCCGTGTACATATACATCTATAAATGTATGTGTATATGTGTGTGGACTATGCATATACAATTACATACGTAAATACATACACATATGAATATATACACATACATACATACATACATACATACAGACAGACAGACAGGCAGACAGACAGACAGAGAGACAGGCAGATAGAAAGCCAGACAGGCAAACAAACAGACAGGCAGGCAGGCACAGGGAGACAGACAGACATACATACAGACATACACGCATACATTGTATGACAATGTCTTACATGCATACGTACGTACGTACATACATACAGACAGACAAACCTATATAGGTTCAAACAAGCATACATACCTAAATAATTGCATACACACATACAAACATATCTACAGACATACAGACATGCATATATATGTATGTATACATATACACATATATATATATACATATATGTATATATATACATGAATATAGCAATACATGCATGTATACATAGAGACATGCATACGTGCATGCATGCATACATGCATACCTCTATACGTACTTCCATACATGCATGCATGCATTCATCGATACATACATACAGCTATACATACATGCATGCGTGCATGCATGTCTACATGAATAGATACATGCATGCATGCATACATGCATGCATGCATAGATATATATATATATATACATATACATATATGTGCATGTGTACATGCCGTCTTGCATACATACATGCATGTATATAGATGTATATATACATACATACATACATACATACATACCTACATACCTACATACATACATACATACATACATACATACATACATACATACATGCATACATGCACACATGCATACATGCATACATGCATACATATGTACGTACAGACATACATACATACACACAGTTCTACATGTATGCATATATACATACATACATACATACATACATACATACATACATACATACATACATACATACATGCATACATACATACATACATACATACATACATACCTGCATACATACGTGTGTGCGTGTCCCATGCCGAAGCCTCTCCCACCAGCTCCCTCCAACCGCTGTTCCCTCCCTCCCCCCATCCATCCATCCTCCCTCCCTCCCTCCATCCATCCATCCCTACCTCAATCCCACCCCGCCTCTTCCATTCCCCTCTCACCCTCCTCTCCCATCTTTCCGTCTTTTCCGCCTCCTCCTCCTCCTCCGTCCATCACTCCTCCCTCCGTCCATCCATCCTCCCTTCTGTCCCGCCCATTTCTTCCCACAGAATGGAAGGCCCAGCCCAGTGCGAAACGTCGGCATGGAATCGGCGATACATCGCCGACTGTTCGGCAAGACACCCCCGAGCATGGTGTGGCACCCACGTTCCCATTAGCGATGAATGGTTGGCGGGGGCCCGGGTCCCAATTCCCTCACGCAGATCCCTGTTCGCCCCACCCTTCCCTCCGCATGCACCTCCCTCATCATCCCCCTCCCTTTGTCATCACCTTCCCACCCAATCCTCCTCCCGTTCTCCCATCCTCCCTTCTCATCTTTCCCGCAGCCTCCTCCCTCCTCACCCTCACTCCTTCCTCATCCTCCTCCTCCTAATCCACATCCTTCTCCTCCTCCTCCTCCTCCTCCTCATCATCATCATCATCATCATCATTATCATCATCATCGTCATCACCATCAGCATCATCATCACCATCATCATCACCATCATCATCACCATCATCATCATCATCACCATCATCATCATCAAACTCATCACCATCATCAGCAGCAGAAGCAGCATCATCATTATCATCAGCATCATCACCACCACCACCACCATCATCATCAGCAGCAGCATCATCACTCCCTCCCTCCCTCCCTCCCTTCCTCCCTCCCTCCCTCCTCATCCTCAGTGCGTGGTACCTCTTGATCCCCCTGGTTCCTCCTCCTCCCCTCGAGCCCGAGCTCTGGGGAGCCTCGCCCTCAAGCGTGTCAAAAGGCGGCCCCAGCCAAGGGGCAGGGAAGGGTGGGCGGGGCGTCGCCGTTGCCCCGCGCGTGCCCTGCAAGACGGCTGCACGGGGACCCGGGGGCCTGTCCGACGGGAGCGGGGCGGGAAGGAAGGGCAGCCGCGGGACGCACGCGGGGAGAAGGGGCCTCGGAACGCGGGGCCGGCACGCGGGAGGGGCCGGCACGCGGGCGAAGGAGGGGGGAGACGCAGCACGTCCGCTCTGCACGCTGTCAGACACGCCAGTGGGCGCCGTGGGGGTAGTCAAAAGCTGCCGCGCTCCCTCCCTGCACGCCGTGGCCCGCGCAGCTCCCTGGCTGGCCAGAGGGGCATCCTGCTGCGGCGCCGCCCCCCAGCACAGACGGCGGGCGAAGGGGGGAAAGCGGGGCCGGAGGCGGGAGGGAAGGAAAAGAAGCAGGAAGGAGGCGGCGGAGGGGGAGGATGAAGAAGAAGAAGAAACAGAAGCAGGAGAAGCAGAAGAAGCAGAAGGAGAAGAAGGAGGAGGAGGAGGAGAAAGACGACAACTGCAAACCCAAGACTCATCAACGGTAACGGCAGACAGCCGTTTGAAAATCCCACCAGCCCTCTGGGCGCAGGTGGTCCAGGGCGTTTCCTCGTCCAACCTCCTTCATTTCCCCGCTCTGGAGTTCTACCTGCCCCCCCCCCCATCCCTGGGTCTGGACGGCCCCCCCGCAACGTGTCAGAGCGTCCTTTCTGGTCCAAAGTGGCTGCAAGAGGGCTTTAGATGGCCCAAGGTGACCTCCAAGATCGTCCAAGATACCTCGAGGTGGCTCAAAATAGCCTCCGACACGCATCCGAGGGGTCTCAAGACGGCCCCAAAGCGGTTTCAAGTGCCTACCGAGCGGACCCCCCAAGAGGCCAAAATCATTCAAAAACCAGCGAAAATTAATGTTTGGGGCTATTTTCGCCTTCGATGGGCTCGTGAGGCCTCAAGATGGCTCTAAGACGGCCGAAGATAGAGCCGAGAAGGGCCCAAGAGACCCCCAAGACGACCCAAAGAGAGCCCAAGAGCGCTCCAAGAGCGGGCCAACAGGACCAGCACAGCATTTTTGAGCCTCCGAGGGGGCGGCGAAATTAAGACACCCCTCTTTTGGAACCATGAAGCCCAAGACGGACCCACGAGGCCTTCAAGACCCCCCAAGAAAGCCTCAAGAGGGCTCCAAGACCCCCGAGGAGAGTCCCAAGAGGGTCCCAAGAAGGCCCCAAGAGGACCCCTCACCACAATATATCCCCAAAGCCCGATTTGCCGTCCTCCTTGTCATCGTCCGTCCCTTCGTTGCTTCTTTTCTGCCGCCTCCCTTTTCCTCTTCATCCTCCTCGCGCCGCGTTCCTCCTGATCCTCCTCCTCCTCCTCCTCCTTCCCCTCCTTACGTGTTTTTGTTCCTCCTCCTCCTCCTCCTCCTCCTCCTCCTCCTCCTCCCTCCTCCTCCTCCTCCTCCTCCTCCTCCTCCTCCTCCTCCTCCTCCTCCTCCTCCTCCTCTTCCTACTCCTCCTCTTACCCCCAGGATGGTCCCAGGCATCGTCAGCACCAGCAGCACCAGCAGTAGCACCAACGTCAAAACCAGAAGCAGCGGTACCAGAAGCACAAACTACACCGACAACACCAACGATACCATCCGCTACAACACCACCGACACCCTCCGCTACAAGAGATCTCCCAACTCCCTGGCGCTGCCAATCAAGCCACCGTGGTAAGACGCCACAGAAGATTACCACATGGAACTTTCCGGCGCATCTTGCACCAATTCACATCTCAAACTTCATCGGAGAAGCGACAACGACTTGTTCATCCTCCTCCTCCTCTCCCGTTCCCTCCACCTACCCCCAAGATGGCCCAAGCAGCAGCACCACCACCAGCAGGATCAGCGCAAGCAGCCACGCCGGATGCAACACCAGCATAAGCATCAGCAACAGCATCAACGGCACGAGCATCGGAAGCAGCATCAGCAGCATCACAAGCAGCAGCACCAGCACGTGAGCAAATTCAAAACGCACGAGAGTTTAAGGTACTACTCAGCGCAGCAGCTAAGATCAAGGATGCCCATCGATATCAACGATACACTGCGCAACACTTGCGTCGAATCGTAGATACAACACCCTGCAACGGACACGCTTCCCACAGAAAGCACTACGGCACATCTTGCACTGATCTAATTCTTCCAGTTCATTGAACGAAGTTGTTTGTCATCTTTGCTTTCTGGCCCCAGGGCACTGCCCATCCAATTTGGACGCTTCCAAGATGGCTGTGCGACCGCGTGCTGCCAGGCGTCCACGATTAACCAACTCATCTGGAAATCGTTGTTGGATGGACTGGTAGGGATACTTTTTGTTCGGCGGCTCGAAGGACAGATCCAGCGAGCGGGGCTAACGTTCTGGGGCACAGAGCGAGATACTTGGCTGCAGAGGCACGTAGACCGCTGTAGCGACTGGACTGGTGGGGACACGCGAAGGGTCAAGAATTCTGTAATTTGCCAAAGCACCGTTCGTGGGACTTCAACGCCGCGACTCACCGTCACTGTTGCGCCTTGACGGTCCTGAATCGCATCAGGGCATCCTTTCTGGGATTTGCACACCGCGAACTAACGCCACCGCTGCGCCCTGACAGACATCGGGCCGAATGAGCATTTCTGGAACGTTGACCACGAGAACCCTTGGATGTATAAAAAATGCGAGCAGCACGGGGGCAGGAGCTACATTTCGAAAAGGAGCTGCCCGCCGCCCATGAACGTCTTGAAGTTGTTGAAATCGATTGCGCGCGGCGCTAAGACGACACTTTGGAAACGACCCAATCCGTGAAACTCTTGCGCGTTTCAAGAACGAATGCGCGCGACGCTAAAGCGAGACACACAGTTTGAAAAAGGCAGAAACGATGAATGTCTCACAAAGTTGTCAGTTCACGGTTCACACGTGGCGCATGTTTCAAAGGTGCCAAACCCAAAGCGACGGGCCATCTGCAGCTCGAGCTCGAGTTAAGAAGAAACTCTAATTCATATGCAGCTCGATTAAAGAAGAAAATCATGATCATCTATGATAAAATTAACCGGGTGCGAATAGTTTGTCGGACCCAGCTCCAGTAGCAGACCAAGTTCGGGCATCTAGAAACTTCAGACTAACGCGTCTGATGATTTGGGATACATGAGGTGTGCCTGTCAGTTTTGTACCTCATCTACAGCTCGAGTTGAGTTCCCAAAGCCGACAGCACCTGTCAAGATGACACTAAGCAGCCGATCCCGCCGGGCGCTTTTTCGCAAGAATATGTACCCCATCGACCTGAGATCAGCATAGCGAACGGGAATACGATGGAATATGAGGGACAAGAATATGAGAGCTGCAACGAATGTTCAGATCCCGACAATTCGATTTTCAACCGACCAAAACTGGGAGCCGGCGGCATATCGTCAACGTTGTTTTTGTTTTGGGGGGGGGTGGGGGGGGGAGGGCAGTGTTCCAGGCACCTCAGCGCCTACCCCAGTCCCAGGAGGGGGAGTGCCAGAGAGAGCCCTTAGCAGCTCAATCTGCCTCAGAGCCTCCGCCGTCGCCTCAATGAGGCTTTCTAAGGCCGAAAGCTCAGCACCAGTAATGGTACAAGGAGGGCGGGGGCGCGGCAGCGCATTGACCGACGTCACGCCAGTCAATGGGAAAGGAGCTAAGTGTCTGTGTGCGGGAGGGGGAGGGAGAGGAGAGGCGGGCACGCTTGCTCACGTGAACATGTTCAACATGAAAATCCGACGTGTAAAAGTGCCCAAGAGGGATAAGCCCTATCTGCAACCACCATCCGATACCCACTCCCGACGGGTCAACCCCGCCGTCAAACTTCCCGCGGAGGTCAATCGCCTGCATAGTATGATGAAGGTGCGGGGGGAAAGCTACCCAAACGCGTACATACCAGAATACTTCGCCATTCCGTGCTTGATGGATTAGTTCATCTGCTCATGCATTTCCTTCTCGAAACTCGCGCTTGACAAAATCGGCTCCCAGACTCGAAGGACGCAGACCCAAGATAGACAAGTGCGCCAGACGATCCTGAAGTGCCGCAACCCGTTTCTGATAATGGACTCCATCACCGTGCCTTCCCCGACCTGTGCTCCAGACACCCGAGACCCAATTACAGACAAGCAGACTGTCTCCCACTAGCTCGCACCCAAGCCCATCGCCACAGATGTCCCAAACAGTCGCACGCTCTGACAGAGTAGCTAGTCTCTTAGCCATCTGCTCGGCCTCTTTAGCAGAAGCCAGACTCCACGACTTGTCGAACATCCTCTCCACCTCCTCCTTGGGCTCCCTTCCTCCTCCCTCAGCTCCTCGGGGTAGGAATGAAACTATCGAAAGCGGACCCAAGACGACAATGGGTGAGGTAATCCCGTGCACAATGAACAAACGTCGAGAAGGCGAAGTCACAGACTCTCCACCAATCGTCCACATCACGAGCGTCAGCGCACATGACATCAAACATGTGAAACCAAGGGCGCTCACCCGTCGAAACACCGCCACCACTCGTACGCCAGCGTGAAAGTGTGCTAGACTCCCTGCGCTTACCCCACATCCACAGTGACTTAGCTGCTCTAGATCTCGCCTGAGCGAGGCCGTACGTGTAGCACACCAACAATCTCCTCGCATCACACATAGCACGTGACGCACAGTGTTGCACGCCTTCTCCCTGCGCGGCGCGTGGTCCAAGCCGTCGACGCTTGGGAGCAGGAGCCCTCTCTGGAAGGTCGTCCTGGGGACCATCAACCGTATCGGTTTGCTCGACAGAGGCGTACTCACCCGACCGCTCGGCGAAATACCCAGCAACATCCTGGCCCAGCCACCAAGCTGAGTGCAGAGCACGTTGTACAGCTGGTTGGAGGCGTTGCTTCTGCAACTGCTCTCGACACCATCTGAGACGAGCCGGCCTCCAGAGCTGCCACTGCGCCCCTGGAGGCTTGCGAGACGCCGCCATATGATACAGGCATCGCCCCTCGAACACGTGGATGCGCCCCAGGCTGTCAGAGTCCCAGGTAAAGCCCTCACTACCGTATAGTAGCACCGATTGGACCAGTGAGAC